CTTTATGCGTGTCTCTTCTGCTCCTGTGCTCATTTCTGGATTTTCTTGTCAGAAAAATTTAGCTATCATGACATATTAGTGACCCACTTAAAGGTATAAAGAGAATGACCTGTTAAAAACAGTTGCATAGTAAAAGTTATAGGTTTGGGAATACTTCAGAGGAGTGAGGCAAATCTGCATTTATAAGGTACTTCCAGGTTTTCTGCCTTGTCCGATATGGAGTCTTCAGTGACTTCCCAATGCTCAGACTTATTTCTAGCACCACTGATTTTAATTACATATACTTCATATGGGCAAAATTAACCAGCAGATTGTGGTGCTGACTTTTATGGTCTGATGTTTTTTTAAAAAAAGACTTTTAAATAAATTTTAAACTCAATTTCTGATTTTAATTTTCTCAATAAAGACAGGAATTGTTTTATTATTTATATAGATAAGATTATATAATTATCATATTTTACTTACATCCAGATCTATTTGTTTTCTCTGTGACTCTGTGCCTAAGGACAGGTAGGTATAGCTTGCAAAGTTAAAAACAAATTCTATTTTTGTTAGTTTTCCCCAAGTTCTTCAGATTAGGTAGAGCTAGAGGGCTGATTTTAAAACTATTATAATAAAAGATGGTATTTGAAAACTTTTGATGAGGGAAATTGCCATCATATTTACATTCTGAAAAGCGTTTCCTTATTTACGCACTATTGACTTCCTATTGAGACTCAAAAATTTAAGTACAACTGGTAAAGAATTCAATGGATCAAATTCAGTAAATCTGAAGTCACTGGAATAAAGGCCCCTCAGAAAAAAAAATGTGTCAATTTTAAAGGTCTTTCCTAACTGAAGACCATTTTGTGATAGAGCCAAAGGTTAATAAAATCAGTAGTGAATGTAGCAATTTTACAGATAAGCTATTCACAACAAGTGTAGTTACTTGAATAAAAAGCTAATTCAGTTCTAAAATGCCACATGCAGTAGCAGTGAATAGCTGCTTTTAGGTGCTTTCTGGAGGAGGATAAAATACAGAATCACGGCACTCTTCTCTTCCAGCGTCCCTGGCTGCCTGTAAATTGCTGTGAATGGGGCTGTGGGCTGACAGGCTCTATTAAGACAAACTGCCTTTCTCATCGGAGAGATAAAATAAATCAGGTGTTTAGTCAAATTAAAATACTTCAGCTGGAGCAGGCCCCGGGGAGCACTGATCCACCTGACTAATCTGAGAGAAACTCAAGACAGATGTGGTTTGGGGATAAAGACGACCCCATGGAACAAAAGAAAAGAAGAAGAAAAAATAAAACCTGCTGCTCTGTCTTTGGAGTTGGAGAATAGATAGAGTTTACAGAGGAGAGTGTCAAGCGCACACTGTGTGTGATATTGGATAAAAGCAGGCACGCTGACTTGTGGAGAAGCCGTGTACAGAAGCTTTTTCTCTAGTTCCCTTTTTGAGGTTGATGAAACTACTCCTGTTTTTGTGTGGGAGGCCGAAGAGGCTGTTTCTGGCAATGCTTTATAGACAATCATTTCAAGATAGCCTAAAGGATAGGAAACAGATGACGATAGACAGCTCTTGATGACCTCTACTGGCCTGGGCAGATCTTCAGAATCGGCTCTACTTTGATTCCCAAGTTGATTTTAATCAAAGTTCAAAACATGATTTAAGATAAGATTTTCTACAAAGTCTTAAGTTAACTCAAAACGTATATTATAATCTTTTGCCTTCCTTAACATAATCAGCCATATTTAGGTTGCCCCATTATCTCCAATGGGCTGCCAATTCTTTCAATCTATTCTTTCTCTGGAGTTCTAGCTCCTAGGCCATGACAAAAATCTCTTGTTTAACTGAGTGTTTGGGATGAAATAACTTATGTTCACAGGTTAGTTGTTCAGTGTGATTCACACTGGATATTATTTCCTTTATAGCAGTGTAAACACTCACTGTTAATTGAAACAGAAAAATCCATCACTGTAGATTTAAACTACTATACCTAAGCATGTTCAAAGGGTACTGAGCAGAAAAATGAGCACACATCCGCATTAACCTACACATTCAAAAAAAAATGTAAGCTATTATGTTCACACACACACACACACATATATATATATATATTCAAATTTTGATAGTGACAGCTTATATAAAGGCTTTAATCCTTAATATAAATACCAGCTTTCTGCCTTGGTTTTTCCTTAAACATATGTCTAAGTCCAGTGAAAGGTTTATTTAGATGTAACTGATCACTTACAATTAAACAATTTAAATGTCATGAAGACTTGCAAAAACATTTAATTAAAATGGCGCTAGTCTGTAAAAATTCAGGTATGTATATCTATTAGCAGCAGAAGTGCCAGAGCATCTGTACATATTCTGACTTCACCTTGGATAAAGGAGCCTAAGTCACTCATGTATTATCCTCAGTTTCCATTTCTCAATCAAAAAAGAAAATGAAATAGGTTGAAGATTATTGAAAAGACTTTTTTTTTTTTTTTGGTCGGTCTTGGGGCCTGAACACTGGGCCTAGTCACTGTCCCTCATCTCTTCAGATCAAGGCTCTACCACTTGAGCCACAGCGCCACTTCTGGCTTTTTCTGCTTGTGTGGTGCTGAGGAATCGAACCCAGGGCCTCATGTATGCAAGGCAAGCACTCTACCACTGAGTCACCTTCCCAGCCCCAAAGAGACTTTATCATGAGAGAACAGAAAAACTTTGAGTCTTTTCTAAGTAATCCAAATATCAAATCTGATTCTTGCATTGGCTTTTCCCCAAAATGTTCCCTGGGAGTTCTTTATTAACCAAGAATTAAACTATAGTAACAATCCCAGTATTCAGTAGGTGTAAGAAAATTATATGTAGAATTAGAAGACTAAATAAGGTCATTAAATGTGACCCTTCTTAGGGATTAAGTGCTGTGAATTTTTTGTACCTTTCTGGCCTTCTCTCATACTGTATTTTTGTTGTTCAATTTCTGGAAAACACAAAACCCCATTTACCCTAACACACATGTGGGAACTCTTCCTATATTATTTTCTCCTTGACCAAACATCTTTGGACAGTTCTTCTGGTTCAGTTTTAGTTACTTTGCCATGGTAGTATTGCCTGGAAAGATTCTGGCTCAAACCCTCCAACTCTTTGCCTAATTAACTCTTACTCACCCTCTTTTTAATACGCTATTTTTGAGGTGAACTTCCTTGAACATAGGCCCTCCAAACTTGGTTAATATTTGTCTATTTGTAATTATTTATTTATAATTTACTTTTATATGTATGATCACTTGATATAGTTCCTGGCACAGTGTCTTTCAGGAAGTGTTAAAATTAAAAAGAATGAAGTAAAGACATAAATTTCATAAATTTGCATCTTTTCTTTCATGTCTATACTAATACACATATGGCTCAAGCTTATTCATGCTTTTGAAAAGATTTTATGATCTCTTTTAAGGGCTGTTTTTGTATGTTTGTAGTTGATGTTTCTGGATAAAGAAGTTCTTTTTTAAAAAAAGCTGAAGTTCCTATTCCTAAAATAAACCCATTTTCTTTTCAAGAAAATGAAGGAGCTAGAAAGAAGACTTAATCAGTAATGGTGTTTGCTTCCTTATCAGTGGAATATACTCCCCTCCCCCCCTTGTCTCTTAAGTCAGTCCTTTTTCAGATCTGCGATTCTTTAAGGGACACCGACAATTATTTTTGAGGACTCTAGTAGAGATTTAGAGGTCGGAGGTGGTCCTCAATATGGTAGCTCCTCTGCTCCTACCATTCTTGCCTTGTAATGTCATACGAGACATATGCGAACAGGTAATGTCAGCACCCTTTACAAGTGCCTTTGCTCTGTGGAGCTCCTTAGGGTCACTCAGAAAATAGGATCACTCCTCATGAAGATACTTTTAATTCCTTAGATTGTTCTGATGATCTCTTCATAGGAATGAAGAGGTTTCGTAGGAGGTTGGAAGGCTCCCTCTCTATATACACAAAAATTGGCAATCTTTGTCCCCTTTGACAGCTGGTGGCATCTTTCTGAAAAGCTTTCAAATCATAGATCATTTCTTCATAATGAAACCTGTGTGGCTCAACTACAGTGGGTTGAAATTCTTATCTTATGCTGCGGTAAAATGCTCTAATTTAGATTCACAAAAGGATTCTGTACCCTTTACTTAGGAGAGCTGTGCAATTTGCCCATAAAAAGACTGTTCAGCACCATTAGTGCATACCATAAGTGCTCAGCGACATCATCGCCATTAAACAGCATATCCTTATGCATAACCTTTTCAACCTCGAAATGTGTTTTTTCCCTTTGAAGAATGACAAATGGCAAAGGGCTCAGGGTGCACTCCCCAGGCCCCCCCCAGCAACATTGTTGCCTTTAAGGATGAACTTGGAAACTTTAGCTTGATTCCTTAACAGAAAAAAATTTAATATTTTCTTACCTGAGGCAGTTTTTTTCTCTCTGTAGAACTTGTCCCATGGCCAAGAGATTGACCCACAGCTTCTTAAGAGGCAGATCTTTGCAGAAAACAAAAAGTTTAGGATGAAGATTAGAAAATTGCTTAAATAACGTTTATTAATGAGCACCTACTATGTCTTAGCTATTGATACTATGTAAGTCTCTGAGAAGTAATGATAGAATATTAATATCATCTTTACATTGTTTCCTTGATGTTAAATTTTATAGGTTTCTTAATTTGATGAGATAGATGGGAGTCAGTGAAAAAGTGAATGAGGTAAATAGTTCTGCTTTGCTTTTGTTTCCATAAGTGGAAGGAAGATCAGGGATTTTATTGGTGACAGCACATTTTCTTGGCAAGGAAAACAATGAGCCCAATCATTCATTCTACTGCGGTAACTACTCTGTGGCATGTCACACTCACAACGGTGGGGAAACTGCATGCAGTGTGCCAGATCTCTAAGTGTCCCTAAGTGTGTCTCCAAGGAGTCCCCTTTCTAAGTTCTATCCTTTGTTCTCTGATTCCTTCAGACATTCCTCAAGCTTGTGAGGTCTCTTCTTGCTTCCATTTTAGGTACACCTGAGAGCCTGGCAGAAAAAGAGCGGCAGCTCTCCACCATGATTACCCAGCTGATCAGTTTACGGGAGCAGCTCCTGGCAGCCCATGATGAGCAGAAAAAACTGGCAGCCTCACAAATTGAGAAACAACGGCAGCAAATGGACCTTGCTCGCCAACAGCAAGAACAGGTGAGCCCTGTAAAAGGAGCTGAGGAAATGGAGAGGTGGAGTGTGCCAAATTCAGCAAGGAACCACATCGATTGGTTTATTTGTTGTAAGCTTTCTTTAAAAAAAAAGATAAGTTTAAAAAATTAAAAATAAGAAAGGAAACAGACTTCTGGAAATCCAGAGTCATCAAGAAAACTGGGGCAAGGGCTGTATATGGAAAGGCAAAGAACTCATCATAACAACTGTGTATAACTGAAGTGATATATTGGTTTTGAAGGTTCAATTTGATTAATTACTCCAATATATTAATTTACATGAGCATCACAGGTAATTCCAATGCTGGCTGTGAGTAAGTGGCTTCTCCTGGGGCCTTTCTTTTCTCATGCGGTGAAGGGATTCTGTTCTAGAAAAACTCAGGGGCTCTTTCAGCTCACTGGGCCAATGATTTTCTCTGTCCTTAAAACTGGAGCAACTCTACATCTGAATTTTCTCCAAATATCCCTGGTTCATGCCTGTTTTCCAGTGTAATTATTAGTACCCTACTCCTTGTACTTGCAAAAGTTGACATGGTTTGGAGGATAAATTATATGATCACTATTTATAGCATAGGCAAATTATTGAAAATGATTAACACATGGTTACTAAAAAATTTGACTTGATTGGCTTAGAAGAATGAAAAAACAAAGTTTAAACCTATATCTTTTATTTTAAAAAATGAAACACTTTTTCAAATGTTTATCTTGTCTCATAGACTACATTATTCTAAGAACAATTGTTCTATCGAGTGGTCTCTGATGCTTTAGATCAGACAGACCTAAATTAATGTGCAGTTTTTAGGAATCTGACATTATTACTGGAATTATCTTTTCAGTTACAAGTATTTTATAGGGGTATATAGAGCAATATATGCTCTGTTGATTTTAATGAGTTGTGACGTCTAGTATTTTATATGCTTGAATATTTGCCCACATGTAGGAATATGGACTCAGCCCCTAATGGAAAATAACATAAAGGAACACTGTAAAAAATCAGAAGTTAGAATGTCATTTAGCCATCCAGAGATGACACAGTAATTAACTATTGACACTTGTGAATAAGCTAGCACAAATTAATCTTGACACATTTGCAGACGAGTGATATCTTACAGTGAACACTTTGTAATTATATTTCAAAATGAAAATTAAATGACACTTAAAACTAGGTTGTCATGCTCAATGAAGCGAGCATGTAGCTCAACCGATTGGCAAATAAAATTCAGAATTTGAGCCACATGGTGCTTATGTACCATACTTCACTGTGTCAAACCCATACGTCTACAGTGGATGATAGTAATTGCACTGTGGTGTCTTCGATGCATTTCTATGCAGCACTTTATCATTTAGGAGGGACCATCAATATTAGATGCCTACTGGTGTTTCACTGGTTTGCTAAGAGGAAATAAATATTCAGAGGATCCAGTGTCTGTACCTAAAGCTGCAGAGTGAATTGTCCATTTCTGATTTGAGTGGTGACGAGCACAGTGAGCCATTCCAACTCGATTAAATACAGTTTCCATTTTGTTTATAAAACTTTAGAAAAAACAAGTAGCCTTATTTTTCAAACCACAGTCTATGTTAGGAGCAGTTTTATCATGACTTCCAGTATGAGCCAGTCATCACCAGAACTGTATCTGGGAGTAGAGTGCTGTGTGGCCATCTTAGGTTGAATGAAACGTGAGTGGCATTTCCTCCTGGTACTCAAGCTAGCACACCAGAAAGGCTCAGGAGGCATACAGGTGGAGACTGGAACTGATCCACACTAATTTTCCACTTCCAACATAGCACATTCGAGAACACCAGCTTTTTGGAAATAGACAAAGGTAGACAAACTTGAGCACAAGGAACCACAAAGTCTAGTCCTCCGTAAGTGGTCTTTGGACTTCCCTTTCAGGCTTCCTGAGACACAGGAAAGCCAGGCTTTCCTTGGCAGGATACTCTCAGGGGTATCTCCCTGAGCTTCAGGCTGTAGTCGGCTCAGCCTTTGAGGTGATGAGCAGCAGCTTGCCTAACACCATTATCCTAAGGAAGTGATTGCCCTTCTGAAGGACAGATTCTGTTCTCAATAGAACTTGTGTAAAAGGGATAGTATTTCTTTTCAAAGACCAGCTTGAGTGTTGGTATATTAAATTTGATTGTGGATCTACTTGTATGTGGATCCCTTACTGTAAAATAAACACGCTATCCTTTTGAGGGTAGTTATAACATAGTTTATCCTTAATTACAGCATAGTGTGTCTTAAAATATTCTTGTAGATCATATTCAAAATCAATTTTAAAAAGCTAAAACTAAAGAGTTTTTAACTTACATATATTTTTATACTGCTTTGACAATATTGGTAAATATATTAACTCTGAAAATCAGAAGAGGTAGACCATATTAAGAATAATAGAAAGCGTTTTCCTGTATTTGCTTACAGATTTTACTTTTTGCATCCAAATTAAGTTCTTCAGATAAATATGACCAAAGTTTTCTTGTCTGCATTCTGCATGGATCAGATTTCCCAAGTCTCATCATTTCCAGCTGACTAGTGCAGTTATAGGTGGGTTCTTCACAAATGTGATATGAAGTGGATAGTTTTCATCTCCAGATAAAGCAGAGAGATGACACCTTTTTCAAAATCTTTTCTTTTCTCCAACTTTCTCATTCTACTGCTCTTATTTTGTAGGAACTTGTCCCACTAAGTTGCAGTAAAGCAGTCTTGTAATACCAGGAGAGATCCCTGAGGTAATGGCAAAGGTGTAAGCATTTCATTTTAACTTAATGAAACTTTATTTCTGATAGATTGCAAGACAACAGCAGCAACTTCTGCAACAGCAGCACAAAATTAATCTCCTACAGCAACAGATCCAGGTCAGTGTATTTTATTACTCTCGTCTGATTATACTTGTATACTTTCCTACTTGAAAATGGAATTTAAAATGTTGCAAATGTACCCCTGTCTTGTAAACAGCACCAATAAAGGGCTGTTACTCAAGGATGTTGTACACAACTGTATAAGTGGATGTAAGAAATATTGACTAGGTGGCAGTCGAAGCTTTCTTCTCTGATGTGATGTGTAAGCGGAATAAGCCTAATTTGTTTCTCTTCTGCCATTTGCCCCACATGACCAAGAACCATTTGGTTTCAAGGTACCATACAGATGCTATTTTTATTGCCACAAGCTACTTTCTGCTATGTGTTTTATTAAATGATAATACCATGGAGAAAAATCTTACTTTATTTACTACTTAGAATCGATTTGGACAATTTTTTAGAAGACTCTGGAAAAGGCTGCTAGTTAATTTGTTTCTTAGCAAATATTGACTGCATTCCTTTTTAATGCTGAGGGAATATGAATATTCCTTGTCTACAAGGAGCTTACAATCTGAATAATTGTAACCTAATGTAGACAATTCCTCATTCCTGTATCAGTGTAAAAATATGTAGCATATTCCAGTGATCTGGGAAGAGATCACCATCTGATGGTCTGATTTCTGTAATTGCTTTGAACATTTGATGATTAATTCAAGCAACCACTATTTGAGATAGGTAAGGCTTTCCATTTCTCAGTAGAAATATAGATATGTGCATTCTAGAATGTGCTAGTATAAAAAGTTGCTTGTCTAATGATTAATTCTCAGAATTCTGAGCCCAGAATTCTATATACTTAACCAAAGACTGGTTTCTCTTCTTTGCTGTAATATTTTTAACCTCCTGGGATCTATAATTCAACCTAAATTGGGCCAGCATATTCTAAATTACATTATTATTTTACATGAAATTAATATCATGATCATCTGAAGTTTTAATATGTCAGTAGCCTAAATTTGGAGCTTGTTCTCATTTTCTTCCTTATTGATGAATGCCGGTGATTGTAGCTCAGGTCCTTGCTTCTTTTTGTTTTTCGTATTTAGTATTTAGGTAGTCATTACTGGGTTTATAATACTTAGTGTCTCAAGAAGCGCCTTTATTTATTTTAACTTTTTGCCCACACATCTTCACTAGGAGGCGTTAGTTAAAAATGTTTTTTGTTATTCTGATTTTACTTTCCACACTCAAATCTATGTGTTTCAAAAATAGAATCCAAATGAAGATGAAGTGGAATGTCTTTGGCATTTTTGATAGCAAGGCTTTCAATTAAATCTTGGGATAATTTCTCATCCTGATATCTTTTTTGTGACTCATGCTGAGTTCCTTAATTAAATAACTGTCCAGGTGTTGCCTTGTTCAGTCCTTATTAAAATGTTCAGTATATTTCCTACTGCTAAGGTCAAGATTTTTAGCCTATGGCTTTCCTCCATTTTCTCTAGATTCTTCTCTAAGAACTTGGTAGGTGTTAAATAACATGATCAACTCAATTCTTCTGTTTGTAAAGTAGAAATGAAAGAAGTTCCTTGAGAGGCTTCTATATCAGTTTATTATTATTACTATTTTTGCTATCTCTTTGCTATGCATTCTGTATTACTTCTTAGACCAACATCATTTGTATTGACTTACTTAGTTGATTTTTTTCTGTGCTAATGAGGACCTCAAGTGAAAAGCAACTAGTTCAGAGAATTATGTTATGAAATATTATTAGCATTACTGACCACATATAATTTTATAGTTATAACTTCACTGTAAAATAGATAAGTTTTTGCAGTAAACTATGGAGCACAATCTTAAAGATAAAAAAGAAGAAAAAGAAATAGAACAATTCCATGACAATCAAGAATAATTCAATCCCTACAACCCTTGCAAAAACAATACAGTAGTTCTATGACATCAAATTAGTAATAAAGTATACATTTACTCAAAATAAAAAAATTACCTGATCAAGAGATAATTTTTCAAGTTTTCCAAGGGAAGTTTAACTACTTTTAAGTATGTGTTATTTCCCACAGTTAAATTTTGTTAAATTTAGAACTCAACTGTACAAGTTATAAAATGATAGAGCTTTTCAATGTAATAGTTTACAGTCATTTAGTAATATAAGACTTTTTATAACGAGAATTTGTGTTTAAAAAAGAGGAAGCAATAAGACTGGTGTTTATAGTTCATTCTGTCTTGAGCTATAGCAACATGACTTATCTTGTCAGTATTTATCTTATCAGTATGAGACCATTCAAAGAATTTTTCAAATGCTGAAAAACACTTACTCCTTACATAAAACTTACATATCTTTGACACAAAGCAGGTTTTGATATTTAGACTTTCAATTATTTTTCTTTGGAAGGGGAAAAGGTTAATTATGTTTTTAAATAGAGTTTTTGACAAGTCATAGACAAGTGTCAAATTTAGGCGAAAGATTACTATTTGGGTTAATTTTGACGAACATTTTATACATTAAAATATGAGATTTAAGGGCTGCTTCAAACATCTTTTTCTAGCAAAAATAAAACATCTTCATATCTAAAACAAGATATAGAATAAGATGATTAAGAATGAGGCCTAATTCCTTTTGTTAAAGAAAATTAGAAATACAGAGACAATCTGAATTAGTTTTACTTTTAAGTTTTTCTTTATTTAAAAAAAAATGCTACCAGGTTTTTAGGTTCAAACCAGGTGCCTGTGGCTCTCCCCTGCCTGCAATCTTAGCTACTTGGTAGGGTGAGATCTAAGAATAGTGGTTCAAAAGCCAGTCTAGGCAGGAAAGTCTGTGATACTCTTATCTCCGATTAACCACCAGAAAACTGGAAGTGGTGCTATGGGTCAAAGTGGTAGAGCACCACTCTTAAGCAAAAGACCTCAGTGCCCAGGCCTTGAGTTCAAGCCCCATGACTGACATAAATAAATAAATAAGTAAATAAATAAAAATTCATGATTGTTTTAGTTCAAACTGCTAACTTCTGAATCCGTGCTGATTTTTCTGCAATTTGCAAGCTTTAATTGAAAAAAAAAAGAGTGTCTGACCTCTTATACAACTACAAACACATCTAGGTCTATTGTAATGGAGACAAATAAAAACCTGACTGTTTTCCACAAATGAAAAAGTAAGATTCTTTTTATTAGAATTGGGAAAAGCCACAATTACAATAGTATTATGAAAGTTGCCATGCACATTTTACCTACTTATGTAGGTAGTTTAAAATCATTTATGTTTTTCCTCCTTGAATAAAATTTTTAACATTATATTTATAATATAGTACATAACATAAATCCTATAAAATATAATATAAATCCATAAAGAGATACTTCTAAAACCATGTAAGTAGTATTTTTTTAAACGTATGATAAATGTTTTTGATAAGTCAATTTTTACCATTTAAAAATCAGAGTAATAATTTAAAGTAATTAGTAATATTAACAGATTTTTTAGGAGGGTGTTTGCTTGTGAATTCAAATTCCTATTTATGCTGTGAGGAAAATATGATTCTTATAATTTGTTGTATCTTAATTAAATCTCTTGGTGTGGAAACTAGAAAAGGATTGACATTTTTTTTTTATATTCCCAGGATAGCATTTACACACCATTTTTTTGGGATAAGTTTTTATTGTGAAAATACTGTACAGAGGGGTTACAGTTAAATGAGCAAGGTAATGAGTACATTTCTTGTCAAGCCCTGTTGCCTCCTCCTTTGTTTTTCCCCTACCATCCCTTCCCTCCCACTTCCACAACTACACTCCTCCCTATCCCCTGAATTTTAAAGTTCATTGTTCAACAGTGTCTTGTACATCTCATTGTTACAATGAGTCATCCTGTATCCCTATTTAAACATTTTGTTTGATCTCTTCCCCTCCCCAAATTATACTGACATAAAATACATTGTAAACAGGGGTTATACCCTGGGGGAGGAACATACAAAGCAACAAAAAAATCACATGGTACCTTATAAATACATTAGAAACAATAGCAAGAAAGAAAAAAACCACTTGTGTCCCTATCTTGGGATTCATTTACTTAACATAATCTTATCTGGTCATATGTACATAGCTTTTGACCTTTTCTGCTTCTCCCAGACATATACTAGTTATTGCAAATAAGGGAAACCATAGGACCCATGTTTCTTTCGGCCTAGCTTACTTCACTTAATATAATTTTTCCCAAGTCTTTCCATTTCCTAACAAATGGGGTGATGTCATTCTTTCTGATGGAGGCATAGAATTCCATTGTGTATATATATATCACATTTTCTTGATCCATTCAATTCACACCATTTTTATAAAGTCTGTGTCATGCTCTAACTGCAGAGGACAGATAAACCTCAGTTATTTCATCCTCCATCTCCCTTCTATTACACTATAGTGGTTAATATTTTTAAGGATTTATTTATGAGCTATGCTTACTGATCAAATCCACTTTTAATCTATCAGATTGTTATAGTTAAACTAACACATATCCACAGTATTTTTAATCAAATATTAAATTACTCTTTTAAGGTAAAAAATATTTTATAAATTCTGATATTTTTTTCAGTCCGGGGGCTTGAACTCAAGGCTCAAGGCTAGTGTTCTACCACTTGAGCTACAGTACCACTTCCAGACTTTTCTGAGTAGTTTAATAGAGATAACAGTCACAGACTTTCCTGCCAGGCTGACTTCAAAGCTTTATCCTCAGATCTCAGCTTCTTGAGTAGTTAAGATTATAGGCATGAACCACTGGTGCCTGGCTTAAATTCTGATTTTTTGATATATCTATATATTTATTCTTTTCCCCATTGACTATATCATGGTTTCAAGTCTAGAGAAGATATTCCTTATCAACACAATATACCATGTTCTGTGGTTTCTCTAGTACATCAATAAGAATAATTTAATGATAGCAGCTTTTAGATAGAACTTAACCTTTGTGAAAACCTTTGTGAGAAACTTACTTTTTCAGGGATGAGTGGTATTATCCTATTATTCATGTCTCCTCAGACTCCAGTTGTAGGATTATTCCAGTCACTTGT